TAGACCCAGTTGCCCAGGACCACATCCAGTTGGTTTTTGAATGTTTCCGAGGATGGAGACTCCACAGCCAGTCTGTCCAAGCTACACCAGTGCTCAGTCACCCTGACAGTAAAAAATGTTTCCTGATGTTCAGAGGGAACATCCTGCATTCATTTCTGCCCATTGCCTCTGGTTCTGGGAACCTCCTGCATTTCTGTTTCTGCCCATTGCTTCTAGTCCCGCCACTGTGCACCACTGAAAGGAGCCTGGCTCTGCATCAATTTCACCCTCCCTTCAGGTATCTGTATACACTGATCAGATTCCCCTGAGCCTTCTCTTCTCCAGGTTAAACAGTTCCAGATTTCCCAGTTTTTCCTCATATGAGATGCTCCAGTCCCTTAATCATCATTGTGGCACTTCTTCAGTCTCTCTCCAGTATGTCCATGTCTCTCTTGTCCTAAAGAGTCCTAAAGACTGGACACAGCACTCCAAGTGTGGCCTCATCAGGACTGAGTAGAGGCAAGGGATCACTGCCATTGTCCTGCTGGTAATATTTTGGCTAACGCAGCCCAGGATACCACCGCTTTCCCAAGCTGCAAGGGCACATTGCTGTTTCATGTTCAGCTTCTTGTCCACCAGATCCCTAGGTGCTCTTCTGACAAGCTGCTTCCCAGATGAATAGACCCCAGCATGTACTGGTGCATGTGGTTGTTTCTCCCCAGCTGCAGGACTCCGTACTTCTCCTTGTTGCACTTCATGAAGTTCCTGTCAGCTCATTTCTCCAGCATGCTATGGCTCCTCTGGATGGCACCCTCTGGCATATCAGCCAATCCTCCCAGGATTTTGTCATCTGCAAACTTGCTAAGGCTATACTCTGCCCTATCTTCCACAATGTTAAAGATGTTAAACAGGGCTGGACCCAGTATTGACCCCTGAGATACACTGTTAGTTCACTGCCATCCAACTAAACTTTGTGCTGCTGACCACCCCCTGGGCCTGGCCATTCATGCAGTTTTCAGTACACCTCACTCCTTGCTTTTTCAGCAGCTTGTCAATAAGGATCTTATGGGAAACAATATCAAAGGTATTAATGAAATCAAGATAGACACTACCCACTGTTCTCCCCTCATCTAATAGGCCAGTCATTTCATCACAGAAGTTTATCAAGTTGGTCATCATGGCTTCCCTTTGATGAAGTCATGCTGACTAATTCTGATGATTTCCTTGTCCTTAATGGTCCTGCAAATGGTTTCCAGGACTAGCTGATACATTACCCTCCCAGAGACTGACTGGCCTGTAGGTCCCTGAGTCCTCCTCCTTAACCCTTCTTAGAAACATGAGTGACATTTGCTTTCCTCCAGTCTTCAGGCACTTCTAATCACCATGATTCATCAAAGATTATCAAGAGTGGCCTCACGATGACATAAGCCAGCCCCCTTAGGACTTCTGAGTGCATCCCATTGGTGTTCATGGACTTATGGATGTTCAGTTTGTTTCAGAATTCCCTGACCTGATGCTTTTCCACCAAACACCATCTTCCTTTCTCTAGCCTTTAACCCAGACTCTGAGATTCCTGAAGGTTCATCTTCCTAGCAAAGACCAAAGCAAAAAAGGAATGTAGTACCTCAGCCTTTTCCATGACCTGTGTCACTGGTTCTCTCACCTCACTGATCAATGGGCTCACATTTTCTCTAGCTTTCCGTTTGTTGTCTGTGTACTTACAGAAGACCTTCTTGTAGTCCTTGACTTCGCTAGTCAGATTCAATTTCATTTGGGCTATAACTTTCCGAACTTTGTTCCGGGATGCTCAGGCAATGTTTTTGTATTCCTCCCAGGTTACCAGCCTTTGATTCTGCTGTTTGTATGCTTCCTTTTCGTGTCTGAGTTTGGCTAGGAGCTCTTTTGTTTGTCTATGCAGGCATGATGTACTAATTGTGAAGAAACACTTTGAGCTTGGAGAAGCTGATCTTTGAATATTAACCAGCTTTCTTGTGTCACCCTTCCTTCCAGGGCCTTATCCCACGGGACTCTTCCAGGGAGATCCTTCAAGAGGCCAAAATCTGCTCTCCCAAAGTCCAGGATTGTCAGCTTGCTTTCTACCCTCTTCCCTCTCAGGGTCATTGCAGCCTTTGACCTTCATTTCCCCAACAAGCCCCTCCTTGCTGGTGAGGTCCAGCAGAACATGTGTTCTCATTGGGTCCTCTATCACTTGGAGGAAAAAGTTAACATTAATACTCTCCAGGAACCTCTTGGATTGCTTCTGTCCTGCTGCATTATCCCTCTGTCAGATATTGGGGAAGTTGAAGTTCCCTATAAGGACTGTGGCCTGCAAACTCAAGGCTGCTCCTATGTCTATGGAGGGCTTGATACAATTATTCTTCATGGTCAAGTGGCCTACAGCAGCCACTTTTACCCATCCTTTCTTTAATCCTAACCCATAATTTGATCTCAGTCGGCTCCTCATCCATCCCCAGGCAGAGCTCCATGTAACCCAGCTGTTCTCACATATAAAGGGCAACTCGCTCTCTTCATCTTCCCACCCTGTCCTTCCTAAAGACCCTGTAACCAATTCTTTGCAGCACTCCAGTCATGGGAACCATCCCACATCTCCATGATCCCATTAAGACTGTAGCCTCCAATTGCACACAGATTTCTTAACTCATAATATTTATTCCCCATTCTGAGTGTGCCAGCATACACTCTTCACAGGGGCATTCCAACATGTTGACTTCCTAGGAAGGGCTTGGTGATTTCTCCATAATGTAGGCACTTCCTTGCTTTTATGCAAGTGCTGGAAGTGACCCTGCTTAAAACCTATTTAGCTGGTTTTGTGATCCCTTCCTGTCACACCACCCATGCCCTTTGCTCAGCAAACCTGTCTGTCACTCCCTCATGCACTCCCTCCTCAGTTGTTTTTGGTTTAAAGCTCTCCTAACGAGGTCAGACATCCTATTGGCAAGAAAAGCTTTGCCCCATTTAGTGAGGTGGATCCTGCCTCTCTCAAGCAGACACTGATCTGCAAACAGGGTCCAACAGTCTTAGAACCCCAAGCCCTGTTGCCAACACTAGTTCTGAAGCTAATTATTGAATTGCCCTGTTAGTACTCTCCTCCTCACTCCCTTTCCCCTGACCAGCCAGACTGAATCCACCACCTGGGACCCTGTGCCTGTGGCTATTGCCCTCACAGCTCTGTAGTCATTTCTCATACTGTCCAGGTTCCCCCAGCAGTATCATTTGTGCCTACATGGAGTAACAGCAGGAGGCTGTAGTCAGAGCATCAGATGAGCTTCAGTAGCTTCTCCACAACATCCCAGATCTCACCCCACAGCAGGCAGGAAAACTCTCTAGGTGACTGGTTGGGTCGACAAGATGGAAGCCTCTCCCCTACAGCAGCTAGTCGCACAATACGATGACTTGCTGTTTATTCCTGGTTAGTCTTGCACAGTTTAGGGTTGGATGGACCAGGTTCCTTGCTGGAGGGCTCACCAAGCTCCTCTTCAACTGGGAGGGCACTGAACTTACTTTGCAGCCACAGCCCTTAGGTGTGGCAGGAACCTTGCAGAAGTCACCAGCTTCCATCCTTCCCCTTCTCCAGAGGTTTGGCTTACCTTAATAGTGTGATGTAGACACTGCTGTCTTCCCTGTGGTAGATAGGGTCTGAGGCTCTTCAAGCTGTTAAGTCTCAGAGAAGATCCTGTGTGTCTCCCTTTCATGTTCTCTGATGTGCAGCTTGCTCACTTCCTCCTGCACTCCTCCAGTTGGCAACACAGCTTCTCAAAGACACCACACCTCTGAAAGGACAGAGGACATTTTTCCTGGCCTCAGACAGAGGTCCCAAGCAATCCCCGCAACCTGGGACTTGTTGGGCTGTGTCAGACATCTGAAGCTCGGGCTGTTTGGAACGTGTATTGGGTTTGTGTGGCAAGGTTTTGGTAGCAAGGGGCTTTTTGAGTTTTGGAAGCTGTAGGAAGAAGCATTCTCCAACACAGCCAATGCCAGCCAGCTCCAAGATGGGCCTGTCCCTGGCCAAGGCTGAGCCCATCAGCAACAGTGATACTGCCTGTGGGATAAGAGATTAAAGAAGGGATGGAGAGAAAAACTGCACCATTTCAGGCAGAGAGAGGGGTGAGAATGTGAGAGAAACAGCTCTGCAGACATCCAGGTCAGTGGAGGAGGGGGAGAGGGTGCTCAAGCTGCCAGAGCAGATCAGCTGCAGCCCATGGAGGAGCCCATGTAGGAGCAGGTGGATGTCCAGAGGAGGATATGACCCAGAACAGGCTGCTGGCAGGACCTGTGGACCCATGCTGGAGCAGTTTATGAAGAAACACAGCCCATGGGAAGGGCTTGCACTGGAAAAGTTCATGGAGAACTATCTCCCATGGGAGAGACCCACACTGGAGCAGGGGAAGAGTGTGAGAAGCACTCCCCCTGAGGAACAAGGAGCAGCAGAGACATGTGATGAACTGACCACAGCTCCCATCCCCTGTCTCCCTGTGCCGCTGGCAAGGAGGAGGTAAGAGCAAATCAGGAATAAACCTGAGTAATCAGAAATAAAGCCTGGGAAGAAGGGACAGGTGGGGGGAAGATGTTTTAGGGTATAGGGTTTATTTCTCATTACCCTACTCTGATTTGAGTAGATTTCAAGGGGAAACAATAACACTGCACTCTAATCTCCTGAGCTTTATACCATAAAGCTGACAAAGGGCATCATTCCTTTCAGGTTGAAAAGTTCTACCCAGCACTGTCATGTGGTAGCGAGGCTAAAAGGAAGGAAAACATGGGCCACAAAATGAAAAGACAGATGCAGCAAATCCTAAGGTGAAAGGCTTTGAGAAAGCTCTTTGTATTTGAAAATTTCAGAATAAGGTAATTTCTAAAAATATTTAAATAATTTATGCAAATGAATTAACCCAGGAAGAGCGAAAACCAAAACACAAACATCCAATATGAAGATTTTTTTTTTTAAACAATAAAAATTCTGCTAGGAAGTATATTAAATATGACAAGAAAGGGGAAAAAAAGCGTCTCACAATGTATATTCAAGGACATCACATTTTAGAACAATGTCTTAGCTATTTATAAATGATTCACAAAGAAAATAAATATGCTATTCCATAAGAGAATAAACTAATTTACAGTTTAGATGTAAGGCTTCACCATAACATCTCATACTCTTCATCTGGCCTTTTGCATACCCAAGCTGAGTGGTCTGTACTTACTCTCCAAACAGAGTAACACAGCACAGTGGTCCTCAGAAAACACAGGTAGCGTTCAGGTTTACTTTTCAAGGCTCAACAAAAAAGTATTTCTAGAAAGTACTCTATTTTATTTTTTTGTCACAATAAAAGCAAATGAAAAGCTAGAAGAACTAGATTAAGCTGTATTTGCTGGTCTGAGATTGAGGGAATGGATTGAAATATACCTTGCGAAGCAAAAGTGTCCAGCTGCTAGTTATGCCATCGTATTATTAGTCATTGTGCACAACTCAGACACTGCAACTCCAAAACACAGACTAGGAACACAGTCTGTCCTTTGAACAGAGTACATCACTTCTCTGTGAAAAACACTGGGGGGAAAAAAATCATGAGAACCATCCATCTCCATAGCTATCATATGCATAAGAATTATTTGCCTTACAGAGCTCCAATTTATTCAAAATACTGAATGTAATACTGATGACAGTAATATCCCTTAGTCACCTTATGCATCAAGTATGAATAGGAGAAAAACCTTGACCCAAACACTCATTTTCAATCACAAAACATTGCCAGAAAACTTGTATTTGCAACAGTTACCTGGTGTTCCAGTTAACATTTATTCTGCAGACAAAAGTCACAAGTACTTACTAAAAATACAGATATGTTTCCTAAAAGTAAAGTGAAGCTTCAAGATGACAAAGCTTTTGTAACAGTGCAGGGTGCAAATTTCCAGTATGAAGACATTCAGAAGATCTGCTGCTCAAAGAGGATCTTTTCAAACCCTGGTGGTGGTGTGTGATAAAATTCACTGAACTGACAATCCAGAATGGCACTGTCATCAACTGTAGAAGAGAACCAAACAGAAGGAGTTAGAGAAGGAATAGTTACAGTTTGATCCTCTATTACACCATCTTACTAGACTGTGTACTTTGCTCAAACCATGAAGAATTTTTTCAATACATCTATTGCATATATACAATTAAAAGAAGTACCTTCAATGAATTTGCTAAGGCCCTACACATATCCCAGGAGAGCAAATCATCTTTCTTTTCTGCTGTTTAGTTGGTCATTGTCCTTGGTGAAGTCAATGGGAATGCTACATCTGATTTCACTGGGAGCATTAGCAGGGATTCAGGCTATTCCCTCCAAATCTTCTACTTTATTTTTCCAGAAACCTACAGATAAAGGACACTACGAGATACACACTGCAGGGATGTCTCCTCCTCAGGTGCATATTTTTCTGTCCACTTCCTGATTCTGCTGGAGTATCAGCTGTCTACAATGATTTTTTTTTTGAGGTTTACAAGGGTTTCAGACGTCTGCAGTGGTTGGTGTCAGACCATTTGTTTCAGCATGTGATCCAAAGAAAGTGTCTCTGACTGCTTCTTAATGTTGGAAGTTAACGTGTTTTTCACAATACTTCTCCCACTTTTGGACCCCCTGCATAATCTACTTACTGCAAGTCTTGTTTCAGTGTAGGATATAGAAAGTGGAAAGTTCTGAGTATTTTCAGAGAAAAGCTTTCACGGATTTCGCTCGCAAATTGAAACACCCAACCAGTTAGAAAAGCAAGATTTCTTTCAAAGACAACTTGTGAGATGAACCTGCTACACTAGCAACATTAGATCAAACCAGAAAAGCTTCATCTCCATACTTTGGCATTTAGCTACCTCAGAGCCAAGGCTGGAATTTTTCCCTCCTAGGCCCAGTTAAAACTCCTAACAGTATATTTGTACAGTTCTGTAGTACTTCTGCAGTGATTGCATCTCACTTCCACAGAACTGCCTGAGGTACAGCTGTTGTAGGGAATAACCTTTACATTTGCTTTTCTATTTCATGTTCTCAAACTTGACACACTGTTTGCTTAATCCATCATGTTTCTTTTAAAAAGATATTTATGATTCTAGTCTGAATAGGGTAAATGCTTCAGAAACTCTCTGTGGCCAAATCCTTTCACATGACTAGAAGCTCACACTAAATTAAGGGCATTTACAGTTAAAGTTTATACCAAGTAAGCAATTTACAGGCTTCAAATGTTATACCTATATGTAGGGGATAGGATAACTGTCACAAAATTATGCCCACTTGTGGAAGATGATAATAGGAGCCTGGCAATAAAAGGTCACTGCATTCCCCAGGCACAGAACTTCTTTAGTCCAAGAGAAAAGATTTACAGTAGGCTAACCTGCCACCAAATATTTTCTGAAAGCAATCTGCATTCTTCATGCACCTTCCAAAAGATGTAACAACTCGTTACACAGCAACTCTTTTCCTGCTGCTCACGTTCACGTTTCCCACAAGGAGATCCCGTGGAGCAGCCACAGCATTTTAGCAGCGCCATCACGTGGCATAAGGACACATCACAACAGGACCATATTTCCACTTCAATAGCTTGGAAACGGATAATTCCTCAGCTACATTTATAGACTTCGAAAGCTCTACAACACACCTGGAGTATTTTCTTCCTGTTCATAAAATTCCGTATCACAAATGTATCAAGATATAAATGGGAATATGCCAACAGTTCATTAGGAACCTACCATGAAATTAAAATACCACCCACATCACATAGTTAATGGTATTTCAAGAGTAAAATGATTTTGGAGGAGGCTACTACTTAGATGAGGCTCACATAGGAATAAAGCTAAACTGAAGATGGAGCTCCTGGAGCAGGCCCAGTGGAGAGTTACAAAGATGATGAGGGGACTGGAACATCTCACTTATGAGGAAAGGCTGAGGGCGCTGGGCCTGCTCAGCCTCAAGAGATGGCTGAGAGGGGACCTCATCAATGGCTATAAATATCTCAAGGGAGAGTGTCAGAGGATGGAGTCAGGCTCTTCTCAGTGGTGCTGAGCAATAGGACAAGAGGCAGCAGGCAGAAACTATCACACAGGCAGTTCCACCTGAACATGAGGGAGAACTTCTCTACTGTGCAGGTAACTGAGTACTGCAACAGTCTGGACACAGTCCTGAGTAACCAGCTCCAGGGGACCCTGCTGAGGAGGGAGGTTGGACCACTAGATGACCTCCAGTAGTCCCTTCCACCTTACCCATTCTGTGATTCCGTGATGGCTGTACATGTAATATAGGGAACCTGGTGAGCAATTAGCACTTGCTGTTAAGTTACAAGTCAACCTGGAGTGTAGCATTGACTATGCACTGAGCTAGGGGAAGTGCTACCTTTCAGACGAGATATTAAACAGAATTCTGACTACTTGGGAATGATAAAATCACCACCAAGTTCTGGGAGAGTAAAATTTTAACATGTCTTGGCCAAATTCCAGTTTCTGTAATTCATAGTGTTTTTTCAAAGTGCCTCTGCAGGGATTAATAGGATATGGTATTTGTTTCCTGTTCAAAACTGATGTGGTGTACTGATGTTTGCTTGCAAAACAGCTACCATAATTCACTCATCAATTGTTGGATTTCAAAACTGGGCATCAATCTGGGGTAGCAGCAAAGAGCTGCACCACTACACAGCAAGGAGCTGGACTAGTACTACATTAAAGTTATTACTGCCATAAGAAAATACAGTCAGCAATTCTATTTGTATATAACACTGAATGCATTTATGAAGTAAGTGGAATTAAAAGACACAAATACCAAGCTTCATAGATAAATCAGATTAGCCCACAAATCTAAATTAGTTCAAATTTGGGTTTTTTCCTTTTTTCCCCATCTGCTTCACAGGGGTTTTTTTAACCTGGCATCTTTTAGACTGAGTGCAGTAACTCCCCAGCTTGCTGGATGTGGACACTGTAAGCAATCAGTAACTGGTGCTTTTATTTATTAAGCAGCATTAAAAATGAAGTGAAAATATACTTTTGTAATTTCCTAGGTTTGCATTTTCACACAATTAATTGTTGCAGGTGACAAATATAAATAATTGATGTGCATTCCATTTATGTGAGAAGAATACATAGCTCGTAAGATATAATTGGTGTGAAAATATTGCACATACTGTGAAACTGTTTGAAAATCTGACTTACCATAGACCACTGGGTAGACAGTCCCTCTGATTCCCGAAGCTGGACAATGCATGTTCTTTCCATTTAAATATACATTTAATTCTACATGGTCATATGTAATGCCCTACAAAGTACAGAAAATTGACAAAAAAAACATCAACAAGTTTATATGCAGAAGACTGCTACCTAATTTAGCTCTCTTAGCCACAGGCAAATTTTAACACTGTTATGCAAACCACAGCATCCTAGAAAAACGCACCTCAGATATTCCTGCAAAGGACTAGAAGTTAATAAATGACTAGTAACATTTGTATTTTCACATACTTTGGATTCCTTCATGCTCACTCAGTTTGCATGCAGCACAGTACTACACATTGCATCTTAGTAAGTTAACAAATTTTCAAACTGTTTTTCACTGTGTTAAAAACCCGCAGGATTTTCAATGATTTTGGGTATTAGGCCCTTTGCACCCTTCTTGGTTTTATCTTCACCTGGAAATAGCTTTAATAAACAGTGATACTATGAATCAAGTTTGTCTTCTCATACTTCCATGCAGAACCCTCTCTCAGCTCATTTACTCTGCTGGCATCAACAGATTGTGGTTTCATACACCACACTATAAATATGCTGACTACAGAGCAGAAAGCAAACATTAACAAGGTAATAACTTACTTATCTGTTAGCTAAAGGAGTTTTCTCACTGTTCTGGTGTGGCTGAGTGTGACAATTTGTGTTTTCATTCAGAACTTCAGAAATCTATTCTCATGACAGAACAAAATGAACTGATATTTATGGAAACTGGGGAATTAGCAGTAACATATCTGCTACTTTTTCTGTGATTAGTTGAAGCTGTTCAGACTATGTAAGTTGACCAAACCCTAAAACAGTCTGCAACATTCCAAAAAACTATTTCAGAAGGGCATTAAAAGAACAGTATAGTATCTGAGGGCAAAGGATGGAGAAGTCAACCATAGCTGTTTGGGGCTTCTAAAGATGACATTTTTAACCACGGTTATATAAAGGCAAGGTTACCCAGCAAGAAAAAGTAGTGGTGATAAATGGTCTGACTTTTATTCAATTGCTCCCATGTATGGTTCAAATTACATCTCTAAAAGGACATGGAGAAAATGACACCACTAAAAACCCAACCCCTTGAACTAAGTCACTGAAAGATGTTTTGGGAAACCTGGAATAGTAAGGTACAAAAATACCCCACCTTAGAATTCTCCATTTTCTCTTATTTTTAATCACTTTCCCAGTGAACATTACCCCCCTCTCCACTTAATACCTCTCCTTCCCTACAAAAGTTTCGCTAAAAATATGATTCCTCTATCACCCAGGACCTGTCTCTGCTTCACTCTGTCCTTCTAATCATTAACCAGCTAGCTATGGGATCTTGAGTTCAGATGGGCATGGTGCATAGCTATGTAATGCATTCCAACACATTATTTGTTCAGGGAAGTCCCATATCAGACAATGTCAGATCCTTGTGATGGGAGTTACCTCTCAGGCAGACAGTGCAACAGAGCATTAGAGATTTCTCAAACCCTGGAAAGGTCCATCCCTGATTTGGAACATGTCAATACCAAGAATGAAGACCACTGTTATCCAGGCTGCTGATCCACTCAAACACAATGGGAGTTGATATCTGCACTTTTCAAACTGGGAGATGCAAGCTGAACAATTTGACTGGAACAGTAAGTTTGACCACAGAGCTGTAAATAAGAAGCATTTGGGAACAGCTGAGGAAGTAACAAAGCCTTAAGAAACTCACCACCACATCACCCTCCTGAGGAAGGCTGTTTGCTGGTAGCCTGTTTTTCTCCTCATTGTTATAGTAGAGAGCTCCATCATTTCTCATCACCAGACTGTGGAAATCTTGACCAAGTGGAATTTGATTCAAGTTTGCTTTCTGGGTCGCAACACCAATACCCCAAATCCCTAAAATGTGACATTAACATGGTAAGAAAAAACAAACCCTTTACTTTGAAGACTCTTTGACTGATGCAGGACAGCATAAGGAACATGTTTTAAACTAGTGCCATGATGGTACTACCAGCATCTCCTGGAAATACCACAGCTATTGTGGGTTAGCTCTGGTAGGTAGCTAAGCACCACTCAGCCAGTCATTCCCTTTTACCCACAGGCCCCAGTGGAACAGAGAGAGAGAGGAAAGGAACAGTAAGACCAAGAAAACTTGTGGCTAAAGATAAAAATTGTTTAATAAGTAAAGCAGAAGTGGAAAAAAAGAAAACAAAACAAAGTGATGCAATGGCAGTCACTCACCACCTCCCACGAGCAGATGGATGCCCAGCCTATCCCCCAGCAAAAGACAGCTAACCTCCCTAAATTCCCTCCTCTCCCATCTCCTTTTTCCCTAAGCATGACAGTATGTGGCATGGAATATCTCTTTGGTCAGTTTGGGTCATCCCCCTTATGGGGTTATGTCCCCTCCCAACCTCTTGTGCAACCCTAATCTTATTCACTGGAAGGGCAGAGTGAGAAACAGAGAAGGCCTTGATGCTCTGCAAACACTGTTCAGCAATAGCTAAAACATTAGTGTGTTATCAGTACTGTTTTGGTCACAAACCAAAACACAGCACCACAGCAGCTGTTATGAAGAAAATTAACTCCCTCCTGGCCAGACCCAGTACAAACAGCCACGAGAGACTGAAGACAAACAGCATCTATCCTGAAAACGAAGGATCCGGAGAATTGTAACCACTTAACTGAACTTTTGTTCTCAGAAAAAATATTGAAAAACTCTGAGACCATAGGAGGATACAAAAGAATAAATCCAACTAGCATGGATCAGTAAACAACACAATTTCCTTTTTCAGCTAGTTAGACTAGTCTTAGGGAAAAAGTTAAATGATAGAACTTCATTTGGTAATGTTTTTGAAACTCATAGAACACTGAAATAGTCAAATGAGGAAAACACAGTCTAGACAGTTACAGCAATATGAAGGCACAAGTGATTAGAAAACTATTCCAGGATTACTCATCAGTAACACCCTGTCAAATCAAAAAAGATGACTCAAGTGGGGTTTGAGGTTTTGCACTGAGTGCACAAGGTCAGATCTTGTTCTGTATTCACACTAGCTACTTGGATAACACGACATTGTGCTTATTAAACGTGCTGCCAATCCCAACCTGACAGGCCTGCAAGCTCTTCAGAGGCCCCTCAAGTTTCAAATGATCCCAACAAACTGATTAAGAGGTCTGAAACAAGGAAAGTGCATTTACTTTTCCTGGATTACAAAGAAGAGCAGGTAAGTAGGAATAGTAAGTGGCACAAATACAGTAGTGGCTTGGCAGTCAGTTCATAGACTATGATTCAAGGGTTATCACAGACCACGTGCTGAGTGTGAGTCTGTGCCCCACTGTTGTGAAAAGAGGTATGGCATGTACAGAGCAGACATACTGTATGTACAGCAGATGAAGGACATCTACTGCTGCTGCAGCTGGAGCACAGCATCCATTTTAAGCATCACACCTCAAGACAAATTAGGTCTCACAGAAGCAACACCAAAACCAGTCAAAAGTGTAAAAACTTCATCTATAACAAGACAATAAAAAAATCCCAATGAACTAGGACTGTTTAATCTACAGTAGACTAAAATGAGGCAAAAAGTTAAGAAAATTACTTTCAAAAGACAAAACTGCAGAACAATTTATTCTAACACTTACATGCCCAAAATGAAAAGGACTTCAGAAAACTTTCTCCATAGATAATCCCCAACAGACTGTGCAGGGACACTTCTGGGAATCAAAGTTTTACAATTCTCCTGCCTTGGGGCACAGGAATAGATGAGACATGGCTCACAGGGACCAGGAAAGTTTATTCCCTGTGTTTCTCAAATGTAGGAAGATGGATATTGTATCTCTGTGAATAATGACCACATATGAGCAACAGCTGCCATGGATTCTTCCCTAACATAAGGGATTCTAAAATTGCCCAGTTAAGACTGGTATGGGGTTACATGTAACTTAACACTAAACAACTTATGTGACTGCAAGGTGTTTTGCACAGATTTGTGTGCAGATTTGTGTTCACACTGCCTGAACTCCAATCCAACCGAATGCAAACAACCCTTACCCAAAAAATGCTGGTATCAAGCTGGTATCATAGGGCCTGTCTCTGGACTAATGCTTCTCTGCTTCTTCCTCCCCCTACACACTTAGGGAAGGAACAGCTTCATTTTCACAGTGCCTGTTGTTTTTAAAAGTAGAGACTGATTTTTAATTCTAGAATACAGGCAGGCCTTGAGTGCACTCTGTACCAGTGAAGCTGACTGTGGTAGTAAAAGCATAATGCTTGCAAATTTCATTCACTTTCAGCTGCTTTGCATTAAACCTATGCGAAACAAATATTGAAACACGGTGCTGAAAGGCTCCTCTGGATAAGGCAGTGTCAGAATAAGTGCTGCACATTGGACTTGGAGAGCAAAAGGTAGCACAAAAAGTGTTACCCTTGCTTGGGCAAACACAGTGCGTGCTAAAAGCAAATGGAGGTAGAAAAATAGCTAAAAATACGTCTAGATAAACCGCCCTATTTAAAAAAATACTTCATAGCTACAGTGTTTTATGTGGTCATAAGCATTTATTCACCAAAAAACATTTCTAAAACATGCCAACTGCAAAACATTCATATAACAGCATACAAAACAATGTGGGGCTTTAGTATTCGTATCCCTTTCGTAATATACTTACCTTTCTTTTTCATGTCAGACACAATTACATAAAATTTTTAAAAATTCCTTTTACACAATGACAACTTATGAAACTCTTCAAGGTTCAAAAGTTCAAGAATGCAATTAGAAAGATGCTGAGCATTAGAGATATGACCACCTGCAGGCAATCTAACATGCCTTCCACATTTAGAGCTGTATATTATTTTGCTGACTAACCTGTGGACTGAATTTTAAACTCGAAATAGCTCTTGTTCTGATGCAAAGGTGCATTGGCTAAGCAGCCTCCTGTGCCACATATTCTTCTGCCATTTTTCACAATGACGACATCTGTTCCTGCAAGAAGCAAAAAACCCACAAAACTTCAAAACATTTTCAGAAGTCTGGAAGCAGCCCTCAAAAACCCTAAACATTGAGAGCAGTTTTTGTTCTTTCTGCCCCAAGTAAAAGCTTCATTAGTCTGTGAGAACTCTGATGAAGGTCCATGCTGTGAACTAAAAGAAGGAAAGCTGTTTACAGGCTAGTTCCTCTTTCCACCAGGGTTTATTTGTTTAATATCTATATGCTGATCTAAATTTTCACCTCTCGGGTTATACAGCACCACACTGATCACAACCTTTGCTTAGCCACATCAGAAGCACAACTTCAAATTTACTCAGAAAAGGTTCACTGTGAGACCAAAGCCCTGAAGGAGATGCCCGCAGTGCACCTGGACACACAGCTGTCTCTAGCATTGGGGGGGAAAAAATTCTGCAGCAAGAAGGCTAAAGCACATTGGCTAGAAATAACTGATGGATTTGCAAGTTGTTTAACTACTCTCTGAAACAATCCTTTTGTTAGGAACACACCTGTCAAGACAGAGAGAATAAAATCCTCTGGTAAGTTTTCCTTCTCCATTGGAAGAATTTATGGTTAGGCACTGTTGTCAGGATCAAGAACACAGGATACAGGTCAAAGCCCACTGATACAAGGGAGTGAAAACAAGCTGATCACTGCACTCGAGCACTGAGCCCTGAATCGGTCACACTGCTTTCCTCCGAGCTCTGACCCAGATCACTTCTCCGCAAAGCCTGGGCACGGCTGTGTGGATAGCTGCTGCTGAGGATGATGCTCAAAGAGCAGCGTGAACAAGACTTTATGGCTTGGCTCCTTCTGCATCTTCACTGCCATAACTGGAGGTGGAGCCACCATGTCCAGAGATGTTTACAGAAAGGCTGGACGTGGCACTTAGTGCCCAGGTCTAGTTGACATGGTGGTGTTAGATCATGGATTGGACTTGATGATCTCGGGGCTCTTTTCCAACCTACCAGATCTGTGATTCTGTGAACTCACGTCCTCAGTTCTGAGCCATCATCCTGTGATGTGACCAACTGACCACACCCCCCAGCCCGCCCGGGCGGCCTGTCCCCGCGGCACCCCCCGGCCTGGCGCACCCCACGTGCTCACTCTGGCCGTTAACTCAATTTTAGCTAAAGTGAGGCCTTTTC